GTCATGCGAGTTGTCCCACCATGTTTCTGTGATGGCGACCAAGTCATAGCCGTCCTGCTGTATAATGGCATCCAGCTCCTCCTGTTTATTGCCCATGCTACATGCGTTGGTGTAGACACACTTGAACTGGGCTGTCAATCTCATCCCTGACCCTGGCACGCCAAGCCTGGGCTCATCCCTAGTGAGGTGGTCTATGACCCCTTCCCCCTTTGAACTTAGTTTAAAGCCCTCTCAATGAGTCCTGCCAGCTCGTGGCCAAGAATCCTTTTTCTCCTTTGAGATAGCTGCACTCTGCCTGTCACCAGCAGGCCTGGTCCTGTGTACATCTCCCGGTGACCAAAGAAGCCAAAATTCGACCAATGGCACCAGTCCCTGAGCCACCTGTTAACCAGGTGAGTTTTTCTGCCCCTTTCAGTGCTGTTCCCTGCCACTGATGGGATGGAGGAAAACACCACCTGCACCCCTGATCCCTCAACCAGTTGCCCCAGTGCCCTGAAGTCCCTTTTGATGGCCTTGGGACTTGGGAGTATTTCATCTCCCACTATAGCTGAAAGCTGAATGCCACTGAATAGGCATGAATAGTTATGTCAAGGAGGGACTCTGAGAAAGTCTCCCTTTGGTTATGTCAGTATGGCAGTCTGTGGAGCTATGCGGATATAATTGACTGAAGATGTGTCCCTGCCACATGCAGTTTGAATAAATTTGTCTGAAAATCCTGTTTTCTTTAAAGAAAAGAAAAATAAATAATTTAAACCTACTTGTCTGTTGGTGGGAGAAGAGTTTATAAACAGAATTGACTTGACTTTAGATACACATTCACATAAAAACTATGGTCCACTTATATGACAGTCATACAGTAGTGAATTTTGGCTCCCAGACACTGCTGAAAGGCACAAACACTAGGAATTTGGCATTCACAATAAAAATTGTCTGCATTCCGGTTGGTAAAATGACACATGCTATAGACTGTGTTCCATAAGAATCTAATATTCCTTCTCCCTGCTTAGGATGTCCTACACTTGTTGAGAGGAGCTCCTCCAGAAGTCACACTACTACTTTGCAGACCACCAAAAGGTGTTCTTCCAGAAATAGAGCAGAGTGCCCTGGTAAGGCAAAGTTTCTATCATAAACTTGCATCTATAAACCTGGAAAAACACTACTATGTTTTCTATCCAGTCTTGAACAGGGTAACCTTCCCTTTTCTCCAAGGCCCTCTATTCCATTTCTTTCCCTTCCTGGCTTCAACTCAGCCTCTAGAGTTCAACTGATTCTTCCTTAGCAACCAAAATAAGAGAAATCTGACAGATGTGAACATCTTTATCCCAGTCTTTTGAATTGCAAAACTGTTATTGGAGTGAAACAGCACACACCCAAGCAGATCTTCTAGTGATGCTTCTAAAAATGCTCTACTAGATCCTCAGCAAGAAACTGCAGATATTCTCAGCTGCAGCTATTACAACTCATGGGCTTGAGATAGCTAGTTTACTCCCAAAAGCAAGAGAAAAATAGAGAACTTTTCATATCCAGACTACCTCTTAATAAATTTAAATAAATGAAATAATGGGTTCAATTGGTTAGTCAGCTTCTTATTGATAGTTAGCAGAATTTGCAGGGGAGAAAAAAAAAAGAAGGAAAAAGATCAATCAGTAGAGACTGCAGAGACTAAAACAGTGCCATTAGGTGTGCTAGCATTATTATTGATGCTTCTTGAACACAACTCATGGACACATACACAAATACTCTTATAATGAACATGCATTTGCATTACTCTTACTCCATGCAGAATGGCTCACTCATGACTCCTGTTCCACCATGATTTTTAAGCATTGTCCTGTGGCGGACAGAAATGAGTGTCAGGACCATCTCCAGGTAAAAAAATTGGCTCCTGTTGCTCTCCTGCAGTGTGCCCTTGGCTGACTTCTGTGGTCAGTTGCACAGGAGTCAAATCTGGAAGCCACTTCTACACAGCAGAGAGAATATAGACACAAAGAAGTTGAGGCATAATATGAAAACAAATAAAACGGTGCCACCTGTTTTAGTAGTTCACTGGCTGGAACTCCTGGAGAATGTGGAAGATAAGCATAAAGACAAAATAGTTATTTAGTGAGAGCACCTCCGTCTATTTTTTCCCTCCCTTCCATCTGCCATTTGATATTTTCACATTCAGATGCGTATTGATATTGCTTCTTCAAATTATTTTGTTCTTAAAGGAAAGAAGACATGAGATAAAAAAGGAATTACGCTAACCTTTCTGTTATTTTTGATAGACACCAGCACCATCTCCTATGAAGGAGTTTGTGGCAGAAATTCCAGACAATACAGAGGCAGGAAACAGTATGGATCAGTCTACCAGTGACGAAGGTAGCACCTCTCCAGATCTTGAAGACTGCCTGGATTCTCCAGTGGCAGCAGATTTCAGTGAGCCTCCTGAAGAGGACAGCTCAACTTACGAAGAGCAGGAAGCTGAGTTTCAAGAGAAGGCCACACAGAAACTTATGACTCCCAAGGAAAGTTTCTATAAGAATCTTTGGAAGTTTCACAAAGAAGTTGCCAGTTCTGAAGTCTTCCACTCCCTAGAGGAAGAAGTGAACCAGAACTGCTACTCACCATGTGAATTTGGATGGGTCAAAAGGTAAGGAATACTGAAATCTGCTCTGCAGCCTTACCTTGAGCTCGGAGAATTTTGAAAGTGAATTGCTTAGATTTAAGGAGAGGGCTATCAGCTTCCAATCACTGCTGGATAATGAAGATTTTGTTTTACCATCTTATTCCTACTGTCCTCATCTACTCTCTCTATTTACTTTCATCGTACTAGCATTTTGCCTAAGTCTGCATTGCAAGACAGTTATGTGGGTGCTGCAATACTGTAATCATTTATGCTGTTCAGCTGAAGTTGGCTGCAGTTTGAAATCAGTGGAAAGACTCTTGTTGACTTAAACAGGCACCAAAAATTTATTTCTTATTGTATGATCTTTTAATTTCAAATTTTTTCAGAGAAAATAAAAAAACCTCAGAAGACAAACTGTGATCAAGGAGAAAAAAAAAAGTTATTTCCCAGTCTTCAGAAGCCAATAGAAGCCCTGAGCCAGAGGAGTTATACGATAAAATACAGTGCAAATGGACTCAGCCTCCTTTTACACTCTTTTGGATATACCACACGCTCTCACACAGAAGATGATCCATTTCATTTTAATCATCTTTCCCCGTGCAAAGGAACATTAATTATCAGAACAGAAAGGATTGGTGGAAAGACAAGTTAAAGGTCTCTAGAAGACCTTTTACAGCTTTTATCTAGAAACTAATTTCTATTTTTCCACACAGTCCATTGAAATCCTTTTGTTACTTTTGAAGTTCACCAAGAATAGAATCAGTCAAAGATTCCAGTCTCTGGGGATTCACAGCACTAGCTGACTGCAAGTCAAGTGGGACCATAATGGCAATTCATACTTTTGTCTCCTCTCAAGAGGAGAAACTTCATTCACATTCATGAGTGAAGCTCCTGCTTACATATATTATTCTCTACTGCTGAGAATAAACACAGCAGAAATCTGTCTGTAGCAAACACATCTGCCAAGAGATGCAGCTTCAGCGAAACTTAATTTCTTGTGGAAAAATATCAATTCCAAGAAAAGTTTTGGATTCTCCCCAAGAAGGAAGTTCTGAAATAAATGTTTTTGTTTGGTACATTCTTAGTAACATTTAATTTCTGTTTTTGCATTTTCAAAAGGCAGGCAGAGCAGTTTAAGACGGTATGCAATTTAAACAATATTTTAAATGTAATCTCAGTTCACGTGATCCTTCCAGCTAAAAACATAAAACAATCCAGAAGGACATAGACATTAATGAAGGAATTCCTTTTGATTAATGAAGAAATTTATTTTCTTCAGATTACTCAAAACTTTTCGTGCAAATGTAGATATCTTCCAATACGAATTTTAGAAGTTCCCAGCTCAGGGTTTCACCTGGAAAATTCTTTTCTCTCTTCTCATTGCCACCAAAAAGAATCTTTGAAAAAGCTCTTTGAAAAATTCTAACCCGTAGTTTTCCCCTGTGAAGTCCTGGTGTAGGGTCACAAGACTCCAAAAGAAAGTCGAGCATGTCATGATATTTCCGATGGTGACGCAGAGATGGGTAGAAGCTGTGCTGTGATTAAGCCACTGCTGACTCATTGCCTTGAGTTTGTGTAGCTCTCCCAAACACCTTTCATACCCTTTTAAGGTCAGTCAGAATTCCACTAGCATGTGACAGATTCTATGACACCCACATTGACCAACATCCATTGAACTTAGTTGTTTGTTTCCTGTCTCCAAAGGAAAGAGGCAGACTGCATTTGCTGCTAGTCTTAAACATTTCTTTTAATTATCCCAGTGGTCTTCCACAGTATTGTAAGTATCTGTTGTTCAGCTATTAAAGCACAGTCAGCTTCATTCTCAGCTTTGCTGTGCTGCTGGAGATGGCCAACTGCTCGTTTCCTCCTTGCATAGATACAAGCTAACAGACCAGCTTGCTTCCCTCTCTGAGGCTATACAGCATGAGCCTACAAGTTTTTGTTATTTTCATCAGTATTTCAAAAATACCATCGAAGGCTCCTAGCCCATCCATCCAAAATGCCTGTTTTGCTACTTTGCTTTATATTTTCCTTCTGATTATAGACAACTTTTGAAACAAGAGCAAGAGATTTTTTTATGATTTCATACAAAACACATGAATTGTGTTTCTTTTAGTTGTATATGTTTCCTTGGGAGATGGCAGACACAGTTCAGGTCTTTCAGAGAGTGAAAGATCATAGGTGACGGTTATACTTGAAATGACATAGCATCTTTGTTATGTGAAGCATTAATAAAAACTATGCCATTTTAAGTGTTTAAGAGAAACAAGGTTTAGCAATATTTCAATAAAGATTGATATGAAGAAAAGACACACTTTAAAAAAAATGTGTTTCAAGCATTTCTATTTCCTTTCATGGTAAATTTAATGGGAGACAATGCCATAGTAGTCTACTAGAGTTCATTAATGAGAACAGCCAAAACAATATTAAACACAACACATACAGTCACAGTCTGGGCTTGAACATTAAAAGTGTTGAATACTGTGTCTCCAATACAGTGGAATAAAATCAATAATAATTTTAATTCAAGTAATTGAACAAATGCATTGATTCCGTAGGACAACTCTTATGCTTCAAGGCCAGCAGAAGAATAAAAACAGGCTTACAAAGAGAAGTCAGGACTCGTATTTTTTATGGAGAGACAGGAATCATTTTATATTTCATGTTTCTGGTCTGTGCTGTAGTTACCAAGGAAAGACCTGTAGGAGCCAGGAATGTGGCTGGCATTTCTTTTTCAAGAATAATGCAAGTATGAAAATTGTAGTAGTATTGCAATGTGCATACCACTTACCAGACAAGTTGTTTATGGCAGATGAAATAATTAATGGTCTAGGAATTGTCCAATTATTCTTTTCAAAAAGCAACAAAATTACTAATTAATGTCTTAAAAAGAGTGCAAGATTTTGCAAAAGCTGTTTTCAAATTCTGAAACATTTTTAATTTTTTAAGTAGTTTTGCAAAATATTAATTATTTATTTTATATTAGCACTGGAGGACCCAGACAGCATTTTAATACCGTAACTATTACTTCAGTTAAAATTAAAATAAGGTCGTATATAAGCAGTAGACTTTTCAGTGGCCATCTAATAAAGCATATGGAGGAAAACCCCAGCACTGCAATCTTTTTATTTTCCAGCCACATGTTTAATAAGAGTGATGATGACCTATCGAACACAAAATGTATGCCCGAAACTCTCTCGCTAACCCCTATTGATGAAGAGTATCTGACTATCAGCTCAACATCTGTGACCTCGCTTTCACGAGGAGGAAGCTCTGAGACACTCTCCACAACCATGGCAACCCCACAACCATGTGTTTGTGGGCCTTACTCACCACCCCTGCCTGCCAGAGACACACATGACAGTGACAATGAATGGGAAGACTTGGAGGAACTAGAGGAAGAGAAGGAAGAAAAGGAAGATTTCACTAGGGTATGTGATAGACACCAGATTACTAACAGGTAGAATATAAGAAGGGAAAAGAAACAACTTTACGAAAGCAACGTTATTAAACATTAATTCTAACTCATTATCTATGCTATTTATGCATGGCTTTTTTAGTTTTCTGAATGTGCACAGTCTTGAAGTAAAGCAGACCTTTCTCTATGCCCAGCTCTCCAGAATTCTTTACCGTTTGCCTCTAAGGCCATCTCCTTGCTCTTGCCATCTAACTATTTCTTCAACTTTACAGCATTCTGCAGTATTATTCCCAGCATACAAAGGCCTAAGAGCCCTCTAGTAGCCTCTAAAATTAATTGGAGTCAGCTACTTTGTTTTCTTCTGTAGTGTTTTAAACCCACATGGAACATCACTTTTTAAAAATGATACTACTGTAATGTCCTGATAAGAAAGTATGATCCTTGTGTTAATTACTATTCAAAATATAGGGCTCAGTCCTGCCAAATGCTAAACATCTTCCATTTCTGCTGAAACCAGTTAGCTCTGAATTCCTACTAATTTGAGAGCACCGAGAGCAAAATTTAGGTCCAGCCATTTCCTTCAGTGGGACAGCAATAGCAATAACAACAGTCTCTGCACTGTATTATTGCAATGCTTGTCAGCTCAGAGGACTAGAAGGCTTTCTTTACACATTTGAAATGCCAAAATTCCAGTCCCCAATGGCCTTCTCTGCCTTCTTAGGCCCTATCAATCAATCACCATGAAGTGCCACTAAGTAAAAAGTAAAATTAATTCTGGAATCAGGCAGTGAGGGATCACAGACACCATTGTGTATGCTCTTATATATACCATCTGAGCATCTGATTCCTATCTGCATACAAAGCATAATGGAAGGTGTTAATGAAGCAACAGAAAATCTACATTTCTTGTGCTTATTTTAATAGGAAATTGAGATCTTTGTGACTTTGACAAAGTCAGAGAACAACGGTTATGGATTCTCTGTAGTTCTTAACAAAGTGGACAACTGCCTGTATGTTGATGAAATCTTGAATGAGCCTGCCCTGTCAGATGGAAGACTAAGAAGTGGAGACAGAATCATTATGGTACAGTAATCCTTTGAGTTTATACAGAGGAGAGAATATTTGCAGATCGGTGTCGTTTAGCTTCAGTGTTCTTCTTTCCTAAGAGTCCAATTTATCACATATTTAGGCATGCAAGTGCAAATGGATTCTATAATAAATACAATTCTGCTGACTTCAGGATGAAAATTTCAGACTGAATAGAATGTATGACCAGGCAAATAACATGAATTGCCTAGAAGCAATGCAAGACAACCGAGACATTAAACACCCTCCCAGTTAAATGATATAAACTGAATTAACGTAATAAGATAGGTGACATACAAAGGATTCAGGGGTTCTGTCCTTTATAATGTATGAATAAAGCCTGGTTCATTTTCAGTTTCTTGCATTAGGCTGTCTTCCTTTTTTTTTGCGAAAACACCTTGAATTTCAAGAAAAAAGAGTTATTTTTACTAAAACCCTGCATTCAGAAAAAAAAGTTCAAAAAAGAAATCTTACTGCAGTTTTAACTGTTGCATTCACTGATATTAAATACCACAGCAAAGCAGTAACATGAAAGTGAAAAGTAATCAAAGTTTATATGCAAAATTTAAAGTGGAGGGAGAAGTACATGATGGTCAATGAGATCTGACATAATTTTACTGGTTTGTCATTTAGGTGAATGGAATTGATGTCACATCTTTACCATGTAATGAAGCCCTGGCTTTACTACAAAGATCTTCTCCTGATCTGCACCTTATGGTTGGTCGTGCTGACAGTGATCCTCGTCCCTCTATTAGGCCAGATGAGATTCCTGAAATTACTCTCACAAAAGGTGCCAATGGACAGCTAGGTGTGTAGTAAATACTATGCATAGTATTCTGGACAGGGATTACAGCAATCATAAGATAATTATAAGCAACTGTGGTCTTGGATAATATGATCCTGAGTGACCTTGACACCTTTATGCTTTCCTCCATCACCTGTGACCAAGGAAAGGAGAGCTTTATTTTGGGCAAGCCCTTAAAGGGAAGACTAATACCTCTTTACTAGACCAATGAAGTTAGTTGGAAAAATTATCCTTGTATTCTCACCCTATCAGCTTAAGTTTCTGGCAGATGTCCAGTCTCATATTTTTGTGTTACTGATATACAGAAGTTGTTGGCAGTCAGATAATAATGTCTACTCCCTGCTGGGATACATAAAGATCTATGTGGAGGGAAATTAAAAAAAAACACCCAGGAAAAAAGCCAAAGCTTAAGAAGGATGAGCAACAGATTATGGCAATAGTTTGCTATTCAGAAAACCTCCACTCAAATCCTTGATTCACCACAGACACAAGGCTTTATCTGCATTGTGCAATATATGTGATAAAAGAAATCCCTACAGTGTGCATATCTTGCTGTTTCTGCAGAATGTGGCAAGTACTGCATACAGATAAACCTGTAGACCCAGGAAACAGAACCCTGTTTCCAGTTCAGAAACTAGCATGTCGAGAGATTGCTGGAATATCGTTGCATAGTTCTGTTTTGCACTATGGAATAGCTGAAGCATAAAGATGGACAGCACCGTTCCATATTTTCTTAACATCTAAGCGTATATCACTCTCCCAGTGCAGCTCTTATACCCCATCTCACTGGGGCAAGACTGTTGTTTCTAATGTTGGTGATTTGTTCAGCGTATCTTTCAATGACCTACATCTATTCCATTAGGCTGCATGTCACTGACAGTGAAATTCAAAACATACTGCCACAAAAGATGCTTTCTCTGTGTTACTCTAGGCTTGAAGCTGACAGGAGGAGCTGGAAGCAAGTTACAAGGTATATATGTGCTAGAGATAGTGCCTGGCTCTCCTGCCAGTGTGGAAGGCAGTTTGCAGCCACGAGATCAGATTGTTTACATCTGTGGTCTGTGGACTGAGGGCATTAGCCTGGATGACGCAGTGAGAGTGTGTGAAGCTGCCAGCCAGAATGTCCAAATCAAAGCCACAAGGTAAATCTGAGCCGACAAGGTAAATCTGACCATACTCAATCTCAATCCTAATGTTAAAGCAGGTTTCTAAATTTTACATCAACAAGTCAAACAATAAAAAGATGACAAACTACAAGAAAAATGCTTTATCTCAAAGGTCTGAACGTTGCAACCCGATATATAACATCCGTAAGATACCTTAACTCCTTGTAATTACAACTAATACATTGAATAAAAGTTGACTTGTACAACACAAATGAGAACTCAAACTTCATCATTCAAACACAAATGTGAACCCTTTAACTGTGAGGCTGGCCACCATTTTCAGATATCCTGTTCTTCAGGGAAAATCTTCTTTATATTTCCACCACTAGTGCCAACATTCTCCATACATTTTCAGATTCACAACTACAGGAAAGAAACTACCTCTGATGGGAAACTCTGAGTTACTTCCAACAGCCAAATGTTTTAGAAAGGTGTTAAAAATGCAGCATGTAATCTGCAGCAAGTTAAGAATTTCCCTCATCAGTTCTTGGCTGCATTTTAGATGTATTGTGTTCTACAGTCTGATACAGCATCAGCAGAGGTTCTGGACTGATATAGAAATAGCTTTCAAAGATCTCAGAGGAACAGTCAAATAGTAACCCGAAAGTATGTGAATGGCTAAGTTATATAACTGGAGTTAGCAACAGTGTGTCTGTCACAGCTGTCTTAATGTAGTTCAAACTTTTATCAGTGTTTTATTAACTTGCACTGGGCTAGCACGTAGAGAAACTGCACCCTTGTTTACTTCTCTCGGTACAAGCAGTTAGTAGACAACATACCCTCATCGTAAGAATTTGCAATCTAAGGAGACAAACAGAAACAGGTTAAAGGAAATTACAAAAGATTATTCCTGCTTTATAGAGAGGAAACTGAAAGCTGAATTCAAAATGTACCACAAAGGAGTTCTGTATTGGGACAGATGGTTTAACATATTCTTTCTTTCCCCAATCCATTTAAGTAAAATGTTTCACTGTTGTTAAATACAGTCAAATATTTTATATACTGACATAAATGCTCTTTAGGAAAGCACCATTAACAAAATCATAGAAGCACAACTGCAATTTAGACAGCAGACTTCTTAAAAATATTTTTTTTTGTGCTTTAAAAAGCATGCAGCTCTTAATGGTTCATATATTTCACTTTTTCTGCCCCCAGAAATGGCAATCCAGTCGTTCCTATAGAGCAGGAAAACAGTAAGTAAGGCTAATATTTTCGAGTTTTTAGTTCAAAACTTGCTTCTGATTTTGGAAATAAACATAAGGTATCAATTCATTGCATTTAAAAAGTTATTAGTAGATTGTAACTTGGCATTCAGTATTTCTGTTATGGCAATTCTAAGGGTCTGAAGAAAATTTGGTAGCTTTTTAAAGACAGAAATAAAATGTATAGTTCTCTGTAAAAAAAAAAGATTGCATTTTGTATAGCCAGCTTCTATTTTTTTAATTTGTTGTTATTAAATGGGAATTTTATGTGCTCATATTTCAAAATCTGTTTTGACTAAAACGATTTTCTAAGGGGTTTTCCAGCACTTTTTCAGCCAATATTTAATATGAGCCACTACTTTATTATGTAGACCAATTTTTTAAACTGTTATCAATATATCTATAGAAAATCAGAAACAAGCAGCACAAATATCCCTAAAGCAATATAGGGACATTCTTACCAGGGGAGCATATTTAATACTATAACTGACACAGAACTTCACTGGTCATCTGTAGAGGTTGCATCTACACCATCAGGTGGAAGGACTGATATCACATCTACATCACTGCGCAGTAAGTGTGTTAGCTATGCAAGTAACACTTTCCAGGGTACATTTGGCTGGAGTGTTAAGTCAGGCCTAATCCAATTTAATTTACCTGACTGGATATCTGAATTTTTTTTAATCATACAAAGATGACCTGAAAAAGTAACCCTGGACCAGAATTTCTCATGTGCCTACTTTTATCTGAATACTGGCTTATCGCTATCTGAAGAAACTATTCCAAGTCAAGCTAGTTACACATTTCCTACTTTACAACAACTAGCCATGTGTTTGTTTTTATAAAATGAAGCAGCTTATTTCACTTACTGAAGAACAAGCTGCTTTGAATTTACTACAAGACCCAGATAAAGTTATGTGTTCTCTCTGTGGTACATGCATATCACATATCTCATTTACTGTTGTAAATGCATATACTAGAAGGTCCTTGCTTATACATCCCTGCTCCATGAGCTTTGAAGATACCAAGATTTCTCAAAACACCTTCAGAATAGGTTACTAGATCTGATCCACCTCTGATACACATTTATGAGCTCTACAGTGGTAGTTATCTGTCTCTGTTATAAGACAGGATTCTTCGCTTCTATAAGGCACTTAAAAAAAAATCTATAGTAATTTGGTATTTGGTGTTCTGTTTGCTATCATCCAATAGATTTATAGAGAAGTCTATAATAATTTGCTGGTAAGAAAGTAAGCCTTCATTAAAATGCACACTAAAATTGCAAATGCAATAGGGAGCTTTTTTTTAAATTTTTTTTTTACAATAGAACACTCATCATTTTCTGTAAGTCATACATTAAGAGTACTTTGTGGAAGACAACTAAGATCACCAAGATATGATAAAGCAAAATTGCAGAACTGGGGGTGGGTGGGTAGAGATGGGATTGTCAAGAAATGCACATTGTCTTCTTACATATCCATTCCTGCAAACGCTAATACACCCTGCTTCTTCCTCTGCCTGATCATTGCCACATGTCTAGAATGACTCAGTCTGATCTCTGATTGTTGTTACAATTTTAAAAATAGCAATGACTGAGACGCAATATCCCTGCAGTTCATGACAGAATTGTTTAGATCACTGTGCAAACAGGCAAACTTAATCATGGAGTAGTGTCTCAAACTGCCTCACATAGTATCAATATTGCATATCGAAGCTTTGTTTAATAATCTGAGCACAGAATTTACATTTCCTTGTGTATATGAAGGTTATCAGGAGGCCTGTCAGAGAAAACCTACATGTATGCTTTTAGGGCCACCTGGTGACACAGAGAAAGCCAATATTTCTTTCCCAAATGAAAACCTGAATTCCAGAGAACAGCATCTACTGCATCAACGTGGTAAGGACCTTTGTATTTTTCAATGAGGGTTCGTAAAATTTTGTGCCCTCTCTTTGAAAGAAAATAAGTCTGTAGGTCATAATGGCAGCGCCTATTCATAAACAAAACTGCCTCCCTCAGAGTTTCAGAGAACGTTTACACATTACCTGTTCTCCATCTGGTGTCTCTGACCCTGTAACTTGCCGGTTTTAAAGCTTATTTTGGAACCTGATTGCTGGGAGGTAAAAAGTCTACAGGGATAATTTGCAGAAGGCTCAGTTCAAAGTTCAGGGTGTAAGCCCACATAAGTCCACAGGAATTTTTTTGTCTTTCAGTTGTCAAATATAAAATGTTTTATTATCTCTCTGAATATGATTTTGAGTGTGATACTATAGAAAATTTTAACAGTACAACTGTGTAAAAATTGTTGCTGCTTTTTCACAGAGAAGCATTTGGAGGAAACAAACTGTGGTGCTCAGCAAAACATTCACAATTCTCCAGAAAGTAAGGTAAGTGACAATTTTATCAAATATGAGACAGTCCATCGAGTGAAGCGAGTTACACAGAGTGAGATTTTTTAATAATGGTATTTAATGTATTTGCTTCCTCGCCAGTTTCTTTGAAAATGTGAATAGAATGCATTTGAAGAGTGTCCTGTGAAGTGCTGAATTGCTTCAGCATTCATGGACTAGAATGTGCTGAGCGCTTCCTGGGGTCAGACTCTGCTGTTGCTGTTTTTCAATGTATGGAATCACTATTTTACCAGCTTGGTAATGTAAGCACGACACATATGATGCAGCCCCTCCATTAGGTCTTCACAGTACTCTTAACACTTACAAGGTTAATCTTTAGCTTAGAAAGTTGCACAGGAAAAAGATGCAGAATGTCACAGCATGGGAATCTGGGGAAAGTAAGTGTAATTGTAACTGTGAAGCATTTTCCACAACAATCTTTGAAACCTGAGATCAATGTTTCATTCTGAAATTCTCTGATGGGGCATTTGAAAAGAGGGTAAAATTACTCTAAACCTTTGGAGTATTATGCAGCATTGACATAAAACATAACGGTTTGAATTCCACAAGAGTAATGCCATTTTTGAAATGATGAATTCCTAAAATACACAGGTGTGTTCTTTAAAAAAAGAAGTCACTTCCATGCTCAACATACAATGCTTCAAAATGCTTACGAGTGCAAAGAGCACTTTTTTAGTGCAAACATGTGGAAAATTATGTTACTTGGAATTTAAATTACCCTCATTAGAACTGATATTTCAAGGGAATAGATTTACTAGTTTTCTCTTGATTGTGGTTTGGTAAAAAGGGCTGTCATGTTAAAATTAGACCTCCAACCTGGCAGAAAAATTGGAACAATTTTCTCACTTTTGATTGTCATCACTGTTACTGCTTCTTCCACACCATTTAATCCATGATGGTTTATCATGGATTGCTAAAATAATTTCTGAGGATAATACTTGCAACTCTGGAACTAGTCATGGTGCAAGTCAAACATGTCTAGGTTGCTGCTGTTTCTGACATAATACTTCACCTTAAAAAAACAGCTGATTTTAAAACTGAATGAAGTGCTAAAGCCAAACAGATGGGTATGTTGGGATTGCAAGGTTAAGATTCTCATTATAGCACAATAAAAGAATGGAGTATGTACTGCGTTACTCTCATGCTGGAGATAAGAGTGACTTGTTTATCGGTGAAAGTGATGGAATTGATATATTATAAAAGGATTATAAAAGTGCATGTTCCCTTGCTCTTAAGAGATTATTTTCCCTTCCAACAATTATTGGAAAAGATTATGGAAATAAGTATGTACTACTTTCATTCTGATACATAGATGCAGCTGCTATGTTAATCACTGGAAGCTTTATACACCTATTCAAGAGATGGATGTATCCCATAATCTGTATCAGCCAGTAAAGACTGTGAAGCATAATGGGATTCTTTGGTATTAAAAATGCAAACAAAACAGAACCCTGAATAACTTCCACTTTAGAATTCATCCTTTTCTGTTTTAGGACTTCATTATTAAGATTGAGCTGGAAAAAGCAGAAAATGGAAGCCTAGGATTTGCACTGGTAGGTGGAAGAAATGGCAGGGCTATCCTCATAAAAGCCATCTGCTCGGGCAGCATTGCAGATCTAGATGGGAGGCTTCAAGTTGGTGACATCCTACTTAAGGTAATGCTTGGTCTTCATTGTTTTGGCCTACATTTTCTCTAGTTACTCTACATTGAGCATTCTGTTCAGCATAAATGTTGTGCACATTGGAAATATGAGGCTGCTTGCCACACTAACGTGTAGAAGATAACAGAATCACAGAATCACAGAATGTTAGGGGTTGGAAAGGACCTCTGTGGGTCATCTAGTCCAACCCCCTG